GTCACTGGGGGAACATATCGGATCTTAGTGGGCGCCCACGCCCCCAATGGAATACTGTGAAAAAATTTTGCTGCTCTTGCTCTTACGGTTTGGGCTATGGCTGTATCCCCTTAAAAATCGGTCTTTCATTTTATAATCTTTAGGGATGAAAGTGATCCAAGTAAAAGTCGTGAGCTTGTATACTTTTTATCAGTTACAATGTTATCAATGAAATTTTAATTTGCGCACAAATATGTATACTTGTTTGTAAATTGGAATTTGTTATTTTCAAATTTCTTGTTTTGAATGAAACGAAAACCATTGTACACACAGTAAAAGATTGGCATCCAATACAAAAACAGCAAAGTAACGTATTATTTTCAGATTCCACATTTGATCGATAAACGGGTATAATAAATCATTTTATTTGTATTTAAGCACATTATCTACTTTCGAATAGAAACATACACACAGATTGTATGTATGTACATGTATTGTACATATAAGCAAATCAAAACATTTCCAAATATACATATGTACATACGTATTTGGTCAAAAGTTGGAATCTTAAGATTAATATTTAACTTGGAAACATCTTGATCGGAGCAGCGGTTTAGATTTTTTAAATCGAAAAGTTAATTTTAAATGTAGCCCCCAAATTATGGGGGATATCGAAATTTCTTTTAGATTTCTAATAAGGCCTTTTCAAAACCTAAAATTCGGAAAAACCAAATATCGAAATTCCAACCACTTTAGAAGTTAAGCTTAAATACATTCACTTTTTTTTGCTCAGAATAATGGATGTTGGAGCTGTTTGGGGCCACTGGGGGGACATATCGGATCTTAGTGGGCGCCCACGCCCCCAATGGAATACTGTGAAAAAATTTGGCTGCTCTTGTTCTTACGGTTTGGGCTGTGGCCGAATCCCCTTAAAAATCAGTTTTTTATTTTATAATCTTTAGGGTTTAAAAATACTTTAAAAAATGTTAAACACTTGGAAAATTAAACTTAAGCATTTGGGCCATAGAATAACTATTGCGCGAAAAATCATCTTGATCGGAGCAGCGGTTTAGATTTTTTAAATCGAAAAGTTAATTTTAAATGTAGCCCCCAAATTATGGGGGATATCGAAATTTCTTTTAGATTTCTAATTAGGCCTTTTCAAAACCTAAAATTCGGAAAAAACCAAATATCGAAATTCCAACCACTTTAGAAGTTAAGCTTAAATACATCAACTTTTTTTTGCTCAGAATAATGGATGTTGGAGCTGTTTGGGGCCACTGGGGGGACATATTGGATCTTAGTGGGCGCCCACGCCCCAAATGGAATACTGTGAAAAAATTTGGCTGCTCTTGCTCTTACGGTTTGGGCTGTGGCCGTATCCCCTTAAAAATCGGTCTTTCATTTTATAATCTTTAGGGATGAAAGTGATCCAAGTAAAAGTCGTGAGCTTGTATACTTTTTATCAGTTACAATGTTATCAATGCAATTTTAATTTGCGCACAAATATGTATACTTGTTTGTAAATTGGAATTTGTTATTTTCAAATTTCTTGTTTTGAATGAAACGAAAACCTTTGTACACACAGTAAAAGATTGGCATCCAATACAAAAACAGCAAAGTAACGTATTATTTTCAGATTCCACATTTGATCGATAAACGGGTATAATAAATCATTTTATTTGTATTTAAGCACATTATCTACTTTCGAATAGAAACATACACACACATTGTATGTATGTACATGTATTGTACATAAAAGCAAATCAAAACATTTCCAAATATACATATGTACATACGTATTTGGTCAAAAGTTGGAATCTTAAGATTAATATTTAACTTGGAAACATTTTGGCTTTGCTTACAGAATTTGTAGTAATTTTCTATTTTCTTCCATGGTGGAAATTAAATAAGGCTCTTAATTCTGCTACAAAATGAAAAATAAAACCTAAGCACAGTCCACAGGACTGACTATTGATCGAAAATCATATTGATCGGAGCAGCAGTTTAAGTTTTTAAAATCCAAAACAAATTTAACTTAAATTGCCTCTTTCCCCTCCCCTTTCCCTGCAGCACTACCCCTCACCCTCATCAGTTTTCTTGGCTGTTGCTCTTTCGGCCGTCGCTCTCCTGGCATCCGCTCTCTGGGTTTCGCTCTCTTGACAGGCTCCCGCAAAATGCAACGCAATAACTTAGAAAATCTAAATAAATTCGTTAAAAATACTTTAAAAAATGTTAAAAACTTGAAAAATTAAAATTAAGCATTTGGGCCATAGAATAACTATTGAGCGAAAAATCATCTTGATCGGAGCAGCGGTTTAGATTTTTTAAATCGAAAAGTTAATTTTAAATGTAGCCCCCAAATTATGGGGGATATCGAAATTTCTTTTAGATTTCTAATTAGGCCTTTTCGAAACCTAAAATTCGGAAAAAACCAAATATCGAAATTCCAACCACTTTAGAAGTTAAGCTTAAATACATCAACTTTTTTTTGCTCAGAATAATGGATGTTGGAGCTGTTTGGGGTCACTGGGGGAACATATCGGATCTTAGTGGGCGCCCACGCCCCCAATGGAATACTGTGAAAAAATTTTGCTGCTCTTGCTCTTACGGTTTGGGCTATGGCTGTATCCCCTTAAAAATCGGTCTTTCATTTTATAATCTTTAGGGATGAAAGTGATCCAAGTAAAAGTCGTGAGCTTGTATACTTTTTATCAGTTACAATGTTATCAATGAAATTTTAATTTGCGCACAAATATGTATACTTGTTTGTAAATTGGAATTTGTTATTTTCAAATTTCTTGTTTTGAATGAAACGAAAACCATTGTACACACAGTAAAAGATTGGCATCCAATACAAAAACAGCAAAGTAACGTATTATTTTCAGATTCCACATTTGATCGATAAACGGGTATAATAAATCATTTTATTTGTATTTAAGCACATTATCTACTTTCGAATAGAAACATACACACAGATTGTATGTATGTACATGTATTGTACATATAAGCAAATCAAAACATTTCCAAATATACATATGTACATACGTATTTGGTCAAAAGTTGGAATCTTAAGATTAATATTTAACTTGGAAACATCTTGATCGGAGCAGCGGTTTAGATTTTTTAAATCGAAAAGTTAATTTTAAATGTAGCCCCCAAATTATGGGGGATATCGAAATTTCTTTTAGATTTCTAATAAGGCCTTTTCAAAACCTAAAATTCGGAAAAACCAAATATCGAAATTCCAACCACTTTAGAAGTTAAGCTTAAATACATTCACTTTTTTTTGCTCAGAATAATGGATGTTGAAGCTGTTTGGGGCCACTGGGGGACATATCGGATCTTAGTGGGCGCCCACGCCCCCAATGGAATACTGTGAAAAATTTGGCTGCTCTTGTTCTTACGGTTTGGGCTGTGGCCGAATCCCCTTAAAAATCAGTTTTTTATTTTATAATCTTTAGGGTTTAAAAATACTTTAAAAAATGTTAAACACTTGGAAAATTAAACTTAAGCATTTGGGCCATAGAATAACTATTGCGCGAAAAATCATCTTGATCGGAGCAGCGGTTTAGATTTTTTAAATCGAAAAGTTAATTTTAAATGTAGCCCCCAAATTATGGGGGATATCGAAATTTCTTTTAGATTTCTAATTAGGCCTTTTCAAAACCTAAAATTCGGAAAAAACCAAATATCGAAATTCCAACCACTTTAGAAGTTAAGCTTAAATACATCAACTTGTTTTTGCTCAGAATAATGGATGTTGGAGCTGTTTGGGGCCACTGGGGGGACATATTGGATCTTAGTGGGCGCCCACGCCCCAAATGGAATACTGTGAAAAAATTTGGCTGCTCTTGCTCTTACGGTTTGGGCTGTGGCCGTATCCCCTTAAAAATCGGTCTTTCATTTTATAATCTTTAGGGATGAAAGTGATCCAAGTAAAAGTCGTGAGCTTGTATACTTTTTATCAGTTACAATGTTATCAATGCAATTTTAATTTGCGCACAAATATGTATACTTGTTTGTAAATTGGAATTTGTTATTTTCAAATTTCTTGTTTTGAATGAAACGAAAACCTTTGTACACACAGTAAAAGATTGGCATCCAATACAAAAACAGCAAAGTAACGTATTATTTTCAGATTCCACATTTGATCGATAAACAGGTATAATAAATCATTTTATTTGTATTTAAGCACATTATCTACTTTCGAATAGAAACATACACACACATTGTATGTATGTACATGTATTGTACATAAAAGCAAATCAAAACATTTCCAAATATACATATGTACATACGTATTTGGTCAAAAGTTGGAATCTTAAGATTAATATTTAACTTGGAAACATTTTGGCTTTGCTTACAGAATTTGTAGTAATTTTCTATTTTCTTCCATGGTGGAAATTAAATAAGGCTCTTAATTCTGCTACAAAATGAAAAATAAAACCTAAGCACAGTCCACAGGACTGACTATTGATCGAAAATCATATTGATCGGAGCAGCAGTTTAAGTTTTTAAAATCCAAAACAAATTTAACTTAAATTGCCTCTTTCCCCTCCCCTTTCCCTGCAGCACTACCTTTCCCCCTCATCAGTTTTCTTGGCTGTTGCTCTCTCGGCTGCGCTCTCTTGGCATCCGCTCTCTGGGTTTCGCATTAAGTTTGCAAGTAGCGAGTACTTGACTATCAGAACCCACAAACCAATTATCCCCAATGTCATATCCATCAAAACAGCCTGGGTCACTTATTTATGGACAAATCATGCATTGTGAAAGACTTTGGATTTTAATGGGGATTTTGTTTCTTCGAACTGAGCATAATATATCGTTTCGCGAGGATAACAAGGCAATTCAAGAAACCATCGCCAACCAACATCACGGCACTTTTCTTCAGACCATTACTTCTTTGCAGACAGTCAAGCGTCATTAAATCCCCTGATAACAATAATATAGCGTCTTAATCACTTTCTAAATGCTGGAAATCTATCAACGAGAAAGCCACACATCTCAGAATTAACTTCATGTCTGGACACCACGATATTGTGGTCCATAGTAAATGCATAGCTGATGAGCTGGCGGAGTACAAACGCAATCAGTTCAGTCTTCAAGGTAGGCCAATCTTGCTAGTCCCACTGAACTGGATATGAGTACATGCAGGTTTCTTTTAATAGCTCCGAGTAAATGGCGCTACTGTCGAACGTCATTTGTTTGGTAGGGCGATAAAATATAGTCGACTCTTCTAACGAATGTAAGCACGGTTTCCGGTCCTCCATCTAAAGGGGGAATTTTCTTAAGTTGCATACGGGCTTTAATTCGTTTTTTTTATATATCAGGTTGTCAAATATCTCCCTTCCGCTTTTTTTGGTTTTTGAATTTGGCGGCTTGTGCAAAGCGCTACATATCGGTATCGGGCAATGCTATATATCGATTGAAAGGTCTTGACATAACCTACAAAACGAAGCTATTCACAGAAGCTAACAAGTTTGGTTATCGCGTTGAAAAGTTATACATGTGTAAACATGGAGTTCGCTAAAACCGAAATTCGCGCTGTTTTAAAGTTTTGCTTCGTAAAAGGAAAATCCGCTAGAGAAACATTCCGTGAGATAAATGGTGTTTTAGGGGATGGTACTCTATCACTTCGAACCGCGGATAAATGGCTTCGACGATTCAGAGCCGGTGAAAACGACACCATGGATAAGCCAGCCGGCGGAAGACCTGTAACGACGAATACCGATGAAATCATGGAAAACATCGAGGTAGACCGGCATGTGACATCTCGTGACAACATCGCCGAGGACATAGGAGTTAGTCACCAAACCGTTTTAAACCATCTGCAGAAGGCTGGATACAAAAAAAAGCTGGATGTTTGGGTGCCGCATGATTTGACGCAAAAAACCTGTTGGACAGAATCAACGCCTGCGATATGCTGCTGAAACGGAATGAACTTGACCTATTTTTGAAGCGGATGGTGACTGGCGACGAAAAATGGATCACATACGATAATATCAAGCGAAAACGGTAGTGGTTCAAGGCCGGTGAATCGTCCAGGGCGGGATCGACGGCCAGGAAAGTTTTGCTCTGTGTTTGGTGGGACTGGAAGGGAATCATACACTATGAGCTGCTCCCATATGGCCAGACGCCTCATTCTACCATCTACTGCGAACAATTGAACCGCTTAAAGCTGGCGATCGATCAGAAGCGACCAGAATTGGCCAACAGGAAGGGTGTAGTGTTTCACCAGAACAACGCCAGACCACACACTTCTTTGATCGTCATAAGCTACGGGAGCTCGGATGGGAGATTTTATCTCATTCATGGCGAATGTCCTTACTGGTGTAAAGTTGGGCTCAAAAGAGGGTTGTGAAAAGTGGCTGTCAGAGTTTTTCGCAAATAAGGAGAGAAGTTTCTACGAGGGGGGTATTATGAAGTTGCCGTCTAAATGGGAACACATTATCGAACAAAACGGCGTATATTTTAGCTAAATCCGTTCACTGTATCAATTTTTATAAAGCATTGAATAAAAAGCAAAAAAGCGGGAGCGTGTTATTTGACAACCTAATACTTTGGTTGGTATTTTGTTTTACGTGTTGTTGTTAAATAATTAGATTTTGCTTCCACTTTGGTATAACTGATAACCGTGCTATCTGCGAAAATCGCCGAAAACACCGCTTGAAAGTTCAGGTGCGGCCGCTGACCACGTCTTCGAATAACTATTTCGAAACAATTGTTCTACTAAAACTAGTAACATATATAAAGTCTGACTCTCTTGTTTCCATAGCTCCGCGTTGGTTTCGACTTTATTTACGTAAAATCGAACTTCTAGCTTGCGCCAGAGACATTTAAACTAATTTTTCACACTCAAAATAATCAAATCGGCAGCCTAGCACTAAGCTCAGAAAGCTGTGTTACAAAATTTTACTTTTAATTTTTTAAGTTGGTTTTGTATCGACCTTGTAAACAATAATTGTAGTGTTATTGAATTACTCGAGGTCATACGTTGGTTATATTTTAATTTCTTCTATAACGCAACGATTTATTCCACTTAACTTTCATCACACTTACACTCCCTGGGGAGTGAACCCGACTATGATAGGACTAGCTAGTTTCGTCTGCACGTCACCTCAGACTCATCAGCTATCTACGGGGATGGAAGCAGAGCGTCAGAAACTCCCCAATGTTACGATCAGATAAGCTTTTTGGCAATTGTGAGTTGCCAAAGTTTATTGGTTTTAACATAGGTGGAGTTCTGTCGTTAAAGCTTCTATCAGTGTGTGAAGGTTTTCAGTGTTTTGTCTGTTGAAAAACCCCTCGGTTTTTTCGATATGCAGACTGGTAAATACAACAAATAGTTGAAGATTGTTTTTAATTGCTGAATTTAGGGCGAGTGGATCCCTTTTGTTTATGTTGGTTTTGTATCGACCTTGTAAACAATAATTGTAGTGTTATTGAATTACTCGAGGTCATACGTTGGTTATATTTTAATTTCTTCTATAACGCAACGATTTATTCCACTTAACTTTCATCACACTTACACTCCCTGGGGAGTGAACCCGACTATGATAGGACTAGCTAGTTTCGTCTGCACGTCACCTCAGACTCATCAGCTATCTACGGGGATGGAAGCAGAGCGTCAGAAACTCCCCAATGTTACGATCAGATAAGCTTTTTGGCAATTGTGAGTTGCCAAAGTTTATTGGTTTTAACATAGGTGGAGTTCTGTCGTTAAAGCTTCTATCAGTGTGTGAAGGTTTTCAGTGTTTTGTCTGTTGAAAAACCCCTCGGTTTTTTCGATATGCAGACTGGTAAATACAACAAATAGTTGAAGATTGTTTTTAATTGCTGAATTTAGGGCGAGTGGATCCCTTTTGTTTATGTTGGTTTTGTATCGACCTTGTAAACAATAATTGTAGTGTTATTGAATTACTCGAGGTCATACGTTGGTTATATTTTAATTTCTTCTATAACGCAACGATTTATTCCACTTAACTTTCATCACACTTACACTCCCTGGGGAGTGAACCCGACTATGATAGGACTAGCTAGTTTCGTCTGCACGTCACCTCAGACTCATCAGCTATCTACGGGGATGGAAGCAGAGCGTCAGAAACTCCCCAATGTTACGATCAGATAAGCTTTTTGGCAATTGTGAGTTGCCAAAGTTTATTGGTTTTAACATAGGTGGAGTTCTGTCGTTAAAGCTTCTATCAGTGTGTGAAGGTTTTCAGTGTTTTGTCTGTTGAAAAACCCCTCGGTTTTTTCGATATGCAGACTGGTAAATACAACAAATAGTTGAAGATTGTTTTTAATTGCTGAATTTAGGGCGAGTGGATCCCTTTTGTTTATGTTGGTTTTGTATCGACCTTGTAAACAATAATTGTAGTGTTATTGAATTACTCGAGGTCATACGTTGGTTATATTTTAATTTCTTCTATAACGCAACGATTTATTCCACTTAACTTTCATCACACTTACACTCCCTGGGGAGTGAACCCGACTATGATAGGACTAGCTAGTTTCGTCTGCACGTCACCTCAGACTCATCAGCTATCTACGGGGATGGAAGCAGAGCGTCAGAAACTCCCCAATGTTACGATCAGATAAGCTTTTTTGGCAATTGTGAGTTGCCAAAGTTTATTGGTTTTAACATAGGTGGAGTTCTGTCGTTAAAGCTTCTATCAGTGTGTGAAAGTTTTCAGTGTTTTGTCTGTTGAAAAACCCCTCGGTTTTTTCGATATGCAGACTGGTAAATACAACAAATAGTTGAAGATTGTTTTTAATTGCTGAATTTAGGGCGAGTGGATCCCTTTTGTTTATGTTGGTTTTGTATCGACCTTGTAAACAATAATTGTAGTGTTATTGAATTACTCGAGGTCATACGTTGGTTATATTTTAATTTCTTCTATAACGCAACGATTTATTCCACTTAACTTTCATCACACTTACACTCCCTGGGGAGTGAACCCGACTATGATAGGACTAGCTAGTTTCGTCTGCACGTCACCTCAGACTCATCAGCTATCTACGGGGATGGAAGCAGAGCGTCAGAAACTCCCCAATGTTACGATCAGATAAGCTTTTTGGCAATTGTGAGTTGCCAAAGTTTATTGGTTTTAACATAGGTGGAGTTCTGTCGTTAAAGCTTCTATCAGTGTGTGAAAGTTTTCAGTGTTTTGTCTGTTGAAAAACCCCTCGGTTTTTTCGATATGCAGACTGGTAAATACAACAAATAGTTGAAGATTGTTTTTAATTGCTGAATTTAGGGCGAGTGGATCCCTTTTGTTTATGTTGGTTTTGTATCGACCTTGTAAACAATAATTGTAGTGTTATTGAATTACTCGAGGTCATACGTTGGTTATATTTTAATTTCTTCTATAACGCAACGATTTATTCCACTTAACTTTCATCACACTTACACTCCCTGGGGAGTGAACCCGACTATGATAGGACTAGCTAGTTTCGTCTGCACGTCACCTCAGACTCATCAGCTATCTTATCTGATCGTAACATTGGGGAGTTTCTGACACTCTGCTTCCATCCCCGTAGATAGCTGATGAGTCTGAGGTGACGTGCAGACGAAACTAGCTAGTCCTATCATAGTCGGGTTCACTCCCCAGGGAGTGTAAGTGTGATGAAAGTTAAGTGGAATAAATCGTTGCGTTATAGAAGAAATTAAAATATAACCAACGTATGACCTCGAGTAATTCAATAACACTACAATTATTGTTTACAAGGTCGATACAAAACCAACATAAACAAAAGGGATCCACTCGCCCTAAATTCAGCAATTAAAAACAATCTTCAACTATTTGTTGTATTTACCAGTCTGCATATCGAAAAAACCGAGGGGTTTTTCAACAGACAAAACACTGAAAACCTTCACACACTGATAGAAGCTTTAACGACAGAACTCCACCTATGTTAAAACCAATAAACTTTGGCAACTCACAATTGCCAAAAAGCTTATCTGATCGTAACATTGGGGAGTTTCTGACGCTCTGCTTCCATCCCCGTAGATAGCTGATGAGTCTGAGGTGACGTGCAGACGAAACTAGCTAGTCCTATCATAGTCGGGTTCACTCCCCAGGGAGTGTAAGTGTGATGAAAGTTAAGTGGAATAAATCGTTGCGTTATAGAAGAAATTAAAATATAACCAACGTATGACCTCGAGTAATTCAATAACACTACAATTATTGTTTACAAGGTCGATACAAAACCAACATAAACAAAAGGGATCCACTCGCCCTAAATTCAGCAATTAAAAACAATCTTCAACTATTTGTTGTATTTACCAGTCTGCATATCGAAAAAACCGAGGGGTTTTTCAACAGACAAAACACTGAAAACCTTCACACACTGATAGAAGCTTTAACGACAGAACTCCACCTATGTTAAAACCAATAAACTTTGGCAACTCACAATTGCCAAAAAGCTTATCTGATCGTAACATTGGGGAGTTTCTGACGCTCTGCTTCCATCCCCGTAGATAGCTGATGAGTCTGAGGTGACGTGCAGACGAAACTAGCTAGTCCTATCATAGTCGGGTTCACTCCCCAGGGAGTGTAAGTGTGATGAAAGTTAAGTGGAATAAATCGTTGCGTTATAGAAGGAATTAAAATATAACCAACGTATGACCTCGAGTAATTCAATAACACTACAATTATTGTTTACAAGGTCGATACAAAACCAACATAAACAAAAGGGATCCACTCGCCCTAAATTCAGCAATTAAAAACAATCTTCAACTATTTGTTGTATTTACCAGTCTGCATATCGAAAAAACCGAGGGGTTTTTCAACAGACAAAACACTGAAAACCTTCACACACTGATAGAAGCTTTAACGACAGAACTCCACCTATGTTAAAACCAATAAACTTTGGCAACTCACAATTGCCAAAAAGCTTATCTGATCGTAACATTGGGGAGTTTCTGACG